TTAAGCCATTCTGTGGACAGCCATGCCACCTATTATTATTATTATTATTTTAGTTGTCAATGGACCTTTATTTTATTTATTTATATGCAGTGCTGAGAATCGAACTCAGTGCCTCACACATGTTAGGCAAGTGCTCTACCACTGGGCGACAATCCCAGCCCCCATGCCACCTTTTAAAACCATAGGATAATGCCACTGTAGACTAAGAGCTAATTTCTTTCATATACAAAGAACTTGCAGAGCTCAACAACCCAATAGAAAAGTGGACAAGGACAAGAACCGACAATTTATGGAAAAGGGAAGACAGATGGCCCTTACACGTTTAAAAGATGACCTGCGGCCAGGCCTGGGCGCAGCGCAGACACCTGCTACAGAAGCCCACTCCAGGGAGCGCTGCAGCTCTGAACCCCGAGCACGCACAGTCCGCCCACCTCAAGCTCCTGGGAAGCTGTGATTGCAGAGGAGCAGCAAGGACACAGAAGTGGGGCCGACCTGATGAAAGGTTTGACTTAGGAGTTCACCAATAACGTTAGTACTTTCCCAAACCCTAATTAGCGTAACTTGTGACCGATAGCACTGGTACTTTTCCAAACTCTAATTAGCATAAATGTGGAACAATAGTTCTGACCCAAGCGCTTTACAAAACCCAAGATTAGCACACTCAGAAGGTGACTCTTCTTGGTTTCCCCTCTCGTTGGGCCAGAGCTCTTTTTTATTCACACTTGAACAAATCCCACTCTTACACTGAGTCATCCCCACCTGTGAACTTCATTCTTCGAACTCACAAAGCACTGACCCAGAAAAAAGTTGTCGGCAGTGAGCTGCTGGGGTTTGGGGCAACAGTGGGGAGCAGAACCTCCCGTTACGAGTGCATCACATTTCATGGCTGCAGAGGCCTGCAGCTTATGCAGACCCCACCCACCAGCAAGAGTGCAGAAACCCCAGTTTCGAGAAGAGATGTGAGAAAAATCACCATGATTCATCTACTAGATTTGCAAATATGGAAGAGTTTGATAACATCCATACTAGGAAGGTGTGGCTGCAGGTGCCCTCACACGGAGCTGGTGGGAGGGAAAATTAGCACTATACTCAAGGAGGGTAATTGGTCAGTCACCCAAGTTCAAACTGCACATGCCCTCAAAGTCCCAAACCTGCTCCTGGATTTTCTTCAAGATTGACTCCCACATATGGAAAAATGAAGTTTGACCAACGATATTGATCACAACACTGTTTGGAATAGCAACAGACAGGAAAAAACCTAAAAGTTCAAAACAGATCAATGACATATCAGCCATCTGGGGAAATACTATGTAGTTGTTAGAAAAAGAGAGCGCTGGAAGTGTGGCTCAGTGGTGAGCACCTGCCTAGCATATGCCAGGTCTTGGGATCTATTTTGAGCACTGAAGAAAAGATGCAGGATTTTGTTTGCCATAGAAAGATTTCCAAATCAAATTAAGGGGGAAAAAAAGTGGACACTCCATACTGCCATTTATGAGAATTGGGGAAATCTATGGGTATGCGTATGTGTTATGTATATATGTGTATATGTATGCACGTGTTTCTCTGTGTGTGTGTGTGTGTGTGTGTTTGTAAGGTCCACTCAGAGCATCTTTGGAAGAAGACTTAAGAACCGGATACCACTCTCTGCCTTCAGAGAGGGTAACTGAGTGGCTGGGAGACAGGGGAGGGAAGGAAGCATATTTTTAATTATATCCTTCTGTACATTTTTCATTTTTACTATACAAATATTAGCTATTGATTTTTTTTAAGTTAAGCGACATCATAGATTTAATATTCCTTAAACATGCGATCCCATATTATTTATTTATTTTGGTATTGGGGTTTAAACCCAGGGGTGCTTAACCACAGAGCCATGTCCCCAGCCCTTTTTTAATATTTTATTTAGAGACAGGGTCTCACTGAACTGCTTAGGGCCCCACTAAATTGCTGAGTGGACTTGTGCTTTCCCTGGCTGCACGTCTCCCTTCCCTAGGAAAGTGGCTGGTTTCACGCCACTGTGAACCAGGATGAGAGGCTGGTGACAGCAGAAGAGGAGCCTGGGGTCAGACGTGGCCAGGAGAACTGGTTAACTCCATCCCCAGCCTCCAGAAACACAGAAAGCCTGGGAACACTGAGGGCTTCCTTGAAGAGCTGAATGAGGGTCATGCCAACTATTCCCAGCTCTCAAGGACCCAGGAGACCCCAGACAGCACGTGGGGTACACAACCTTGCTTATTTTGCGGGTAACACGTCCTGTGAATAGCCAATGTTGCCTTCTTCACCACTTCTGCCAGGTTTGGGTGCATCTAATGATTTGCCATGTGGTCTAAAGAGTCTCCCTTCTCTAGCCAGCTGCGTTAGCAGACACGATCATCAGTTTTCCCGAACTATTCTCTTTCAAATCATCCTGTAGACTCCAGTCACTTCGATAGGCTTTAGTTCCCCAACCAACACTCAACAAACAAACAAACAAACAAATAAAAAGATCCGACAAAGAAAGACAGCAGCTTACACTCTCAGACCACCTGCAGAGTTTTCTGTTCTTGCTTTTTTCAGTACTGGGGATAGAACCCTGGGCTTCAGGTTTACCAGGCAATCACTCCTCCCATGAGCTACACCCCCAGACGCCAAAAGATTTCCAGTGTCTGTCCAACTGCATGTGGTAGGTAGAGAGGAGCTGCGAGGTGATGCTTTAGAGGTGGTGACAAGGTGCCACCAAGAGGGTGGATCCAAACTACAGAAGCCGAGCTGGGTGCAGGGTTGCACACCTGTAATCCAGGGATTCGGGAGGCTGAGGCTGGAGGATCGCCAAGCTCAAGGCCAGCCTTGACAGTTTAGCAGGACCCTCAGCAATTTAGTGAGACCCCCCCCCCATCTCCAATTTAAAAAAAGAAAACAAAATGAGGACATAGCTCAGTGGCAGAACATCACTGTTCAATCCCCAGTGCCAAAGAGAAAAAAGAAAAAGGAACAGAAGTAATTTGTTCTCTCACAGTTCTGGAAGCTAGGAGTCTGAAATATGGGTGTGGACAGGGTCAGGCTCCTTCTGAAGGTTCTAGAGAAGGATCCTTCCATGCCTCTTCCAACTTCTGGTGGCTGCCAGAAATTCTTGGCAATCTCTTTCTCCCCACATGGCTATCTTGCCACCACCTGTGGGGCTTAACACTCTGATCTTCTCTCTTACCAGGATGCTAGTCATATTGGCTTAAGGCCAACTTACTCTAGTATAGCCTCATTTCAACTGGTTATATCTACAATAACCACATTTCCAAATAAGGCCACATCCTGAGGTCCTGGGGGCCGGGACTTCAACACACCTCTCTTAGCAGACACAACTCAAGCCACAACAGATGAGAGAAGACACACTAGGAAGCTTTTCTAGACTCTCCTCAGGGCTTGACCTGGCTCTGCAGACATGGACACCTCGGGAGTCCAGGAAGGAGATTCACCATAATGTGAAACTCCCTACCCCTCTGCTGGTCTGCCCTCAAGAAGGACTCCAGAGCCTTTTACAGTACTTTAAAATTGACCAAGAACTGGGCGTACCTTCCTCATTCAATCCATGGAGCTAACTTTGAAGGATCTGTTAGGCCCATTTCACAGATGAGAAACCAAGCTTCCAAGAGATAAAATGCAAGGTTCTGAGATCCTTAGTCAGCCTGCCAGGCCAGGTGCCTGCCACCTGGTGCTGTTTCTGTAGGGAGGGCGGGTAGATATAACGAATGGCCCATCCGGGCTACAGAACAGTAGTCTGGTGGACAGCATGCTGTAGGGGCATTCATGCTCTCTTCCATGCCATCAGCCGGCCTTCCCCTGTGCTCTCTGCCACGAAACCAAGCCTAATTAGTTGGTTAGTTAGTTAGTGGTGTGGGGTCAAACTCAGGGCCACTGGACGACACAGTCCAGCCGAAACCTAGTGCATTTCCGGGCTTATTTCTCCCCTAAAGAGAAGGAAATCCATTCAGAGGGAGATGAAGTTCCCGGTACTGATTGGGGTCCACTCCATCTTCTCCCCAGTTTTTTTTAGAGGCTAGGAACTTCCAGGTTTCAAACTGCTTTTTACACCTCCAGAACGCCCAATCTTTAAAAAAGAAAATGTAAAAATCCCAACTTATGAAACCCATGCAAACAGCACGGAAAGGGGGTGGGGCCTTTTTACCTTGGTAAATGGCCACCCCAGTGAACTCCAGGCCCTGGCTTTCTGAGTGAGAAAGTAGTTGAAGACCACATGGAAAAGCAAGTAACAAAAAAGACAGCCATGCAGTCCCTATCACTTCTGAGTTAAAATGGTCATTAGAAATAGTGGAGACCTGACCCTAAGGAATTGTTAAGACCCCGGTGTGTACACTGATGGCATTGCGTCCATGTTTAAAGACTCCTTCTCTTTTAGTACATGCTCAATTATTTCCGTTGAAATGCTATGATGTCTGCCATTTGTTTCCAAATGAGGGGTGATAGATATGAAAGCCCCCATCTAGGGTTGGTGACCCTTGACCATGAGCAGTGGATCCAGGGGGGCTTCCATACATTAAAACCAGCAAATCCATATGGCCCCACCTAGTCCTCTTCCTCCTACTCTTATTTACGTTTGTGATTTTCCTCAATGAAAAGTTGTTTCGCTTTTTAGGCTCCGAAGTATGAATCGTGCATCAGGAACAATGTGACCTCTAACTTTTCATTCAGCAATGAAAAGTTTGAAAGAAAAAAATAGCAACAGAGGGAGGCAACAGGTGTAGCCCCGGGAGGGGGTCTGCACAGCCACAGACCATGTCCCCTACAAGTGGCGACCCCGACCTGCCATCCCCCAAGCTGCCCAGCGCAGAGCCACCGACACCCCATCTGTCCATCTGCCACCGGACACCACTTGGCCATCGGCATGGTCACATCCCCATCCCCAGATCTCTGGCATCCGCTCTTGCCCTCTCCTCCCTGCAGAACCGTAACCCCGAATCGCCAGGCGCCCCGCGCACGGGCCCGGGTCCCGCGGCCCCTGCACTCACCGCTGCGCTGCCGGCTCGTCCACGCTCCGTGCGAAACTGAAAGCAGACGCCGGGCGCAGCGGGCCAGTGCTTGGAACCGCGGCCGCTGCCGAGAAATCACGTGGGTTCGAGGTGCCATCCCGGACCCGGGCGCTGGGGGCAGGAGCCCGCACGCGCCCCGCTCGCTGCACCGCCCCGGGCGCCTGCCGCGCTCGGAACCCGGCCCAGGGGCTCGATCCCAGGTCACCGCCAGCAGAAGGAGGGTCCTCTCCTCCGAGGATGCGACTCTGGGGTGGAGGGTGAAGCCGGCGATCGCGGGAGTCGGCGACGCTGCAGGACCCGGGAGGAGTCCCCGCCAGGGCTTTCTTGCAGACGGGATCAAAGCAAAGGGAGGAGGTGCCGCTGGGCGGGAAGAGGGCACTTAGAGCCCAGGGGTCCTGAGCCCTGGCCTGGGGAGTGCTCCTGGAGAGGGGCAGGGAGAAGGGAGTAACAGGTGGTGGGGACCGAGCCCTCGGCCGGCTGACCCAGAGAAACGCCATCTAGGAACATATCTAATCCTCAAAGTAGCACCAAATACAGATGGGAGTGTCACCCTGTCTGCAGATGAACAGCTGAGGTTCAGAGAGGACAGAGGTGAAGGACCTTGCCTAAGTCACACAGGGACCACTGGCAGAGAGGAGGGGGAAATGGAAAGAAGGTGCGGGGAGAGAAGGCAGGGAGGATGGGGCAGGGGACATTGAGAAGGTAGGTGGCCGTCCTGAAAGGCCACCCGTCCAAGGTTTCCCCCCAGTCTCCCCAGCCTTTTCCCCTTGTCCTGAGATGGGGCCTCCCCTCTCCCTGCAGAGGACATGCTCACTCACCTTCAGTGACAGTCCCAGCTTCCATTCCCAGACAGCTTCTGTGCCCCAGGCCAGGTGTGTATGCAGAGGTGGGCGGGCATTCCAAGTCAGGGGTCAGAGGTTGGACCATGGGCATCAGGCACCCTGGATTCAGGTCCTCCTTTCTTACTGACTATTCACATTGCCTAATGCCTTGACAACCCCTAGCCTCAGTTATACCCGCTGTAAGATGGGAATGATAAAATCCCTGCCCATAGATTGGTTGTGAGAATCTGGCCTGCAGCCAACCTCAAACTGGGGCTGGTGCCCTCTGTGCCTGAAGCCCATAGCATCCTTCTATTTTTGTCTCCTTCTGCAGGCCCCACATCCCCATCATACTTGAACCCCTGTCTTCCCAGGACCAAACCAGATAGCCAGAAATTGCACTGCAGCTGGGAGGGGGCCGGGTGTGGATTTTGCAGTTGAGTGCTTGTGTGCGACTCCCAGATCTGCCCCTCCTGGCTGGTAGCTCAGACAAATGCCTTGATGGTCCCCAGCCTCAGTTTCCTCATCTGTCAGATGGGCTGTTCCCAGCCTCCCAGGCCACTGTAGCATGTATTGTGGAATTGTGGACAAGAATGTGGGGCTGTCAGGGGTGTGCATGAGAGTGATTGACTGTGTCCCAAGATCAGGGTTCAGCTCATGTTCACTGAGCACCCAAGGTCTGATTGTCCCTACACAAAGTCCCAGGAGAGACTCTGGCCTGCTTTCCACGCAGGCAGGGTAGGCAAATGGACACACGGACAGACAACCACAATGTAGAAAGACAAATGCAGACCATTTTTAATCTTGAACAGCCCCATAAGGAGGGTAGGACAAAGATTTCCAACTCAGGAGGGCGGATGAAGAAATGAAGTCCAGATAGGTCAGGTGAGTTACTCATGGTCACACAGCAATCAGGAGTAGAGATGAGTCTTTCCACCCTAGGGGTACGAGACCTGTCAAGAAGAGTCCTGGGAAAGATGCTTTCCTAAACCCTCCCTGTGCTCAGCCTGGTGCACATTTTCTCTGGCTCACAGTGTACACGGTCCTCTAGTGTAAATTACATGTCCATCTGGTTTGGAACGGCCCAGTCCTGTGTATGAGAACCAGCTCAAGATTCTGTGAGACTGAAGAAAGAAGCAGCCTGGTCAGGGATTGCACCACGGGCAGCTTACAGGGCGCTGCGAACAAGAGCATTTCCTGGTGTCAACAAGGCAGGGGGGTTCCCACAGCCCAAGGAGGAGGCAGCACTGCACACAGCTCGCCAGGCGAAGGTGGGTGGGGACACCTGGAATGGACCTGGCATCTTTCACAAACAACTAGCATGCTTCGACACATTTTAGGGTTGGTGGCCAACACAAGCTGCTCAGCTGCTGCCTGAATGACTGTTTGTCCTGTAAGGCTCGGGATGCATGCCAGGGTCAGCTGGTAGCAACAGTGGCCCATGCATTTCCCATTTGTCTGAGGCCTGGTCCTGGTGCCCAGGCTCAGCTGCCCAGGCAGCAGGATGGGCTTCCACTGGGCCCTGGCCTTGGGGAGCCCCTCTCAGCTCCCTGGAGGAAGCAGCAGATACTGACGTCCCCCTGGGGCAGCCCAGCACTCCACAGGGGCCAGGAGGACTTCCTGGATTTTTGAGGTAGGTCTAGGTCAGAACTTCTAGGCTTGGAGGGAGGCCACAGAGCTTGGGAGAGGGGTCCAGCAGGTTTGTCCTGTTCTAGCAAGATCCTCTGGGATTCCCTAGCTCCTTTGGCCACTTACTCTCCTTGGACCTGGGGAGACTCTAAGGGCGGAGAAGGAACTGGAGCCACAACTACTCTCCTTTCAGGAACAGGGGTGAGTCCCACGGTCTCCCCAGGTCCCAGCTGGGCGGGGGTTGTTGAAGGTGACTTGATGGTCTCCCCAGGTCCCAGCTGGGCGGGGGTTGTTGAAGGTGACTTGACGCTTCGTGGGACTTCTCTGTGTGTCCCTAGTGAGGGGCCAACCCCATCAAGCATCGCCTGCCCAATCGCCTTGATGCTGGCTGTTAAAACCACAGATCAGGCCCCTCGGCCACGGCTGGCGAGGACCCTGCCTGTGGCTCTCTCAGCTTCTCTCTGTTCTCTTATTCATTTATTTATTATTTGTTTATTTTCGTAGCACTGGGGATTGAACTCAGGAGCAATTTACCACTACGCTACCTCCCCAGCCTTTTTTTGGGTCAGAGTCTCACTAAGTTGCTGAGGCTGGCCTCCAACTTTCGATCCTCCTGCCTCAGCTTCCCGAGTCATCAGGATTATAAGCGAGTGTCACTGTGCCCAGCTTTCTCTCTGTGTTACTCTGGCCTCTGAGTTTCTTGACTCTGTCACGGTTTCCTCTACCTGAGGGACTCCAGCATCTTGCTCTGTGTCTTAGTCCGTTTCCTGTTGCTATAACAGAATACTCGAGACAGGGTGCTTTAGAAAGAAAAGTTGATTTGGCATGGCACGGGAGAGGGCCTCCTGTGGCTTCGATTCTTGGGGGTGTGACAGGGGCAAAGCATGAGAGCCTTGCTTCCAAGAGTCTGCTCTCCCTCATGAACTCCCTCCTTCAGGGGAGGCAAGAGGCCCCCTCTCATGGCCTGATCACCTCTTAAAGGCCCCCCAGCCCAGCTATGTGGGTTTCTAGGGGACAAATCACTTTCCAGCCAACACGCTATGCTTTTCCCATCCCACTCCAAGGTGTGTCGGGGATTCTCTTCACCCACCTGGACTGAGCAGGCCCTTAGGACTGTAGCCTGGGGACAGGAGGAGGAAGAGCCTTTTACGTGGGCTGGAAACACGCTCAGAGACGCTCTTCTTCCTCACTAAAGTCTGATGTATGTTCCTTTTTGAGACTCCATCCTCCTGCTCCTCCTGGACCAGACAGCGGCCTCTGTATGCCCCTCCCCGACCCTGGGGATCTGAAGCCTCCATCCTCCCCACTTCCTGTCCAGCACTGGCATCCCAGGGGACCAGAGCCTTGCTTCAGGCCCCGGAGGGAAGCTGGTTAGAAGAGGAGCCTGGACTTTCGTGGGTGGGCAAAGGCCCCGAAGGCCCCGGTGCTGTCGGGGCAGGAGAGACGGGGTCTGGGAGGGCCTTCCTGCTACCCAGCGTCCAGGGCCCCCATCAGGACGCTGGAGAGAACTCAGGGACAGTCACAGTTGCCTGGGGTATCTGACCAGGAGTGAGAGGCATTCGTGAGTGTGTCAGTGAGTGGCTCAGGGAGTGGGTGACTGTCTCGGGACCCCTCCTTGCCCTCCTGCCCCCCCAAGTCTTTGCAAATCCCTCCTTAGACTTCAAGAGGCAGCTCCAATATCCCCTCTACCCCTGGTCACTGGAAGATGCAAGGGTGTGTTCATGTGTCCCAACCGATTGTGGTTGTGAGCTTCCCCCAACCAGGAAACCCACCGTTCACCCAGGTGGCCCAGCCAGGGCTGAGGATGCCGCCCAGGCTTGGGCATCCAGGATTTCGGATTCTGCGGGGAGTGCAATGCCAGATGGAGGTGCAGCGGGATGAAGTGTCCCCTAGAGGGTCTCTGCTGCCCGTGGCCCCCTTGCCCGGGTCATGCTCCCGACCCAAGCCTGGCACTGCGGCCTCCTTCCCACTTAGACCATGAGCTGTTCAAGACCCTGGACTGCGTTCCCGTCTCCAGGTGGCACCCGTGCTGGGTCCTGTGATTTGCTCCTGAGGACCCTGATGACACTATCTGTGTCTTGGCCACCTGGTGCCCCTCAGAGCCTCAGGCCTGTTGGGTTCAGGGTCATGAGTGTTGCCCGTGGCCGGCTGCCATCTGAACGTGGAGAGGAGTCACTAGAGGATGTGACTCCAGAGGTCACCGACACCCTGAGGGGCTGGCCTTGATCTAGCCCTGAAGGGTGGAGGGCTTCAAGGAGGGGCACCTGCCAGGAGAGGGGCTGTTCAAGACTGTCCAGCAGAGGGGGCAGCACTGGTGTGACAGAGACAGAGGGTCTGGCCGAGAATGGTGGATTCTGGGTGGGTCTGGCAGGTACCAGGGGGCCCGTCAGGGAGACCCTTAATTCCGAGGAGGAGGTTTGGGTGGCTCCCTCCAGGCTCTGGTGCAGGGATCGGGAGCAACCGCTGTGGAAGGGCTGGCAGGAGGGTGGACACCCAGGGCTGGGCTTGTCATATCTGGCCAGCAAAGGACAAATGTCATTCCCTGCCCTGCCCCAGTGCCCCCCTACTGAAGAACTGTGGGAAGCCATTCTCGCACGTGATTGGGCACCTCCTGGATTGGG